GATCTAGAGGATCTAATCGTCTCATATTTTGTAATGTAATAGAAGTAGAGTATAATAGGGCATCAGAACTCCATAGCATGTGACGTAAGTTGTTCTTGAAAAAATGTTTAAAGTCCAGGGTACAATTTCAAAGGGAGAGGTGCGTCATTTTGGAGGGTTGATTTTACTAGTCAAAATTACTAGAAATGTTCGAAAATCCCATAATACCTTTAAAAATACTTCAAACTATGAATTTTACTCAGTATTTCTATATATGTGATTTCCATCAACACTATTACTTATTGACTTAGCAAAATATTGGTCCAAAAAATGGCCACTTTAAGTCTAGCTAACTGGTTGATGACTTGACTGAATATTGAAGGCACGAATTGCCCTCCTTATTTCATTATTATTTTCTGTTTTTGGCGGAAGGTTTTCCAGCAAACAAGTCCTTGCCAGTTTATATGCGGGATTTGAAATATCGTAAAAAATAATCTCTCTGTCTTGTTTTATACAGTATTTGTTTCATGTTGAGTTTTTGATGGAATACAGTATAAGTACATAATCGTCTCATATTTTGTAATGTAATAGAAGTAGAGTATAATAGGGCATCAGAACTCCATAGCATGTGACGTAAGTTGTTCTTGAAAAAATGTTTAAAGTCCAGGGTACAATTTCAAAGGGAGAGGTGCGCCATTTTGGAGGGTTGATTTTACTAGTCAAAATTACTAGAAATGTTCGAAAATCCCATAATACCTTTAAAAATACTTCAAACTATGAATTTTACTCAGTATTTCTATATATGTGATTTCCATCAACACTATTACTTATTGACTTAGCAAAATATTGGTCCAAAAAATGGCCACTTTAAGTCTAGCTAACTGGTTGATGACTTGACTGAATATTGAAGGCACGAATTGCCCTCCTTATTTCATTATTATTTTCTGTTTTTGGTGGAAGGTTTTCCAGCAAACAAGTCCTTGCCAGTTTATATGCGGGATTTGAAATATCGTAAAAAATAATCTCTCTGTCTTGTTTTATACAGTATTTGTTTCATGTTGAGTTTTTGATGGAATACAGTATAAGTACAAAACTTTTATCATGATGAAATTTCTATCGTCATGTATTTATAAATACTGGTAGGTACTGCTACAGTTTCTGACAGCCTCCAGTGGGTGTATGTTATCTTTCGTTTCCTTACATAGGTCACTGTACAATCTCTGATTTTATTGTCTTTCATCAACAGAAATTAATTTATTGTTTTATTGTTATTTTTAATTAATAATTGTTTTATAAATAAGATCTTTTGTTTTTACATTTGTATTGATAAATTTCGACATCATGGTAAGGTATTACTTTGTGCGTGAAAGGTTCAAAAACGTAATTTTAAATGATGAATTTTAGAATGTTACATGGTGTCGTCTGTTGATGATAGAAATTCTTCTCAGATATCCTAATCAGGTTTCCTGACTTCACGTAATTAACATGGGTTTTTGTAGGCAATTGTTGAAAATGTTCATGTTTCCCATGGGTTGAATGTTGGACCGGACCATGTCACTTTTGTAAACTTAATTTTTAGTCATACAAATTAAAGAGCTTATTATTCTTTTCAATATTTGTGCAATATTGCCTGAAATTTGTTTTTTGTTTTGTTATATTTTGTTTTGTTAGTTATCTACAGCAGCATTCATTGTTGTCTTAACTATCGTTCAGTTATCTGACGCTTCGAGAAATAAAAGACAACAAGGAGAAATATTTGGTAAGAACTCTTTAACATTTGAAAATATTTTCTGTTGAGTGGTAGGGGGTTGATTTGGATGTAAGATGGAGATTCTTAATTCCATGGGAAAAATAATAAGTAAAAAAGATTAAAGCATCTGTACGCTGGATAATTTGAGTATCCAGTACTAATTAAATATGAATCGACACATTTCAGATAAATAATGCTAACTTAATATTTCAGATGTAGTTGATATCAAAGAGGTCAATGAAAATGGAAGAACAAAGCGATCAGCAAACATCAAAGAATCGCATCTGCATCTTCGATTTGCTCTTAAAAACCAAGGAGTTGATTTAAAACTAAGAAAAACTGTGGATGCCCCAATAAGAGTTTATAAACATAAGGGAATGGTTAATGGTATAATACCGTTTATAATTGACTCAGTACCAACACCAAAGGGCAATGGCTCTCGAGCTGACATGATAAAAGCTTTTCCTGTAAGTAGAAACTCTAATGTATTCTAATACAGGTGGCTCATTGAGTTCATGCACCATTTTAAATATGTTTATAATAGAAAAATTGCTGCTGATTTCTTTTTAGAAAAACACGCTACTTGATTCTACTTGAGCGTAAATGTTTCTAACATATCGCACTTTACCGGGAAAAAATATTATACCCGCGATAATTTGTATACAGAATAATATTTAGCTAAAAATATTTTGTAGAGGTCTGAGGTATACATACAAACTAGTAATGGGTTACCAGTTCTTGTCAAAAGAAAAACTGACGGTCAAATAAAATTGGTAAGAATATTTCTATATAAAGTTATGATAAGCTAATGTGGCATAATACCCAAATTAATGTATAATGAGTTCGCAGCCCTTCATAGCCTAAGTAAGACTTGATATGATATTGGTAGTGTGGCAGGTTCCGCCTCTGAAAACTAGTACCAGAAAATTTCATTTGATTGTAGGAAGGGTATATACAAACACCCCATGGTAACTTCGACATGGAACCAACATCAAATGGTCTTCATAACTTAAGACGGGCTCTTCCAATTAATTTCAATTCCGACGTGGTACTGACAGCACCTGAAAATGAGGATTCAGAAAATGAAAAGAAAATAAGTTTGAATAAACGTGCTACTCAAGTAAATACTGTAGAGTTATTAGTAGTTACAGATTACAGTATTAAACAGAGGTAAGTAAGGAATACAGTCATATCAAACTAACTTGTCGTCAGGTTTAGGACAATGGTAACACTTGAAAATTTAGAAGCAATTGTGTAAGAATTGAAGGTTTTTAATAAACCCGTCCAGATGCCAAACAGTTACTTTGAGCATGAAAATGTACAGTAGTAAAGATAGTAACCGTTGTCAGAATAACTTTTGAAAAAAACGCACGCCTTTAAAATTTTCTGTATAAAGATTTCATATACTTCGTATTTCTCGTGGTACTTTCAGGTTTCTAGCTCGAAATGACTACGATAATTCTAGAGCAGATTCGGAACTAGTACAATATTATAAAGCCATGGTACATGCAGTAAGTATTGCCTACTCCTCATCAAATAACAACAAAAAATCTACATAAGAAATTAAAACCAGTATGCAAGATTTGACAAATTGAATCTGAGCAGTAACAATCGTCTGAAATGAAATACACAGATAGGTGATGCTCGTTGAATTGTTTATCGAGTATAAATTACCATACGTTACTCACTTCTTTCTATTACAGGCTGATTTGAGGTACCGATCTGTGACCAATTATTACCCTAATGCTCAGTGGAAAATATCTATTAGTGGTATTTATATAGCTGATGTAAGTAAACTTTGATGTCACAGCAATTATCATGCATAGAAAAACGATTTAACAGATTTTTTTACGTTGGTCATTACAATTAATGTTAGATCTTTCATTTATTGTGAACATGTGTTTTATATATTATAATTCATTGTTTAGAGTCCACGTGATTCACCATTCCATACTGATTATGAAAGTAACGGTATTGTAAGTACTGCAGCATTAAATGCTTTTTGGACATGGGTTTCTACTAATCCCAATTTGCCAGCTTATGATCATGCTGTTTGGCTAACCGAGTAAGTTGCTTTATAAATCTTCTCACCATTAACTAATCAAATACCCGACCAAACTATATGCTCATAATACACATATACTGCGTATTCTATGCTGACTTGTTGATCCAATCTGAGTTTTGTCAGTTGGTTAACACTCAAGTTTTAATTTGTTGTACGCTTTCAATAATCTCACTTAAATACAAAAAATATTTTAAGTGTCTGTTGTTGATTTTTAGTGATGATTTAGCTTCTGGTGGATCGACCGGTGTTTTGGGTAAGTTTAAAATACTCTAGATCATGAGGCTGTCATTTGGCATTTTTTCGAAATAGCGTCCTTCACGAAACGCTCTCTCAACGGGCTCATTTCAACAAAAGACTACAGCACAGGATCAACAGACCTTCTCTTCATCGAGGATGCTTACTTTGTCAAAGTATATATATTGGAAATCAAACCTAATAACTTTAATCTAGGTGGCACAAGATGATCCGTTTTACAAGCATGTACATTACATGACTCTAAATTGTATTCGTTTCTTTAGGAGTGGCCTGGGGCGGAACTTTATGTAATGGATTCAGGGCATCTATATCTGAAGAATTCTTTACTGGAAGAACACCAGCTGTGGTAGCACACGAGCTTGGGCATGGGTAAGATGAAGATATTTTCTTTACTAGCTGCTCAATTTCAGCTATCCTGATCATTTTCCAATATTTCAATCTGATGCCTTGTTCCTTTACCATGTACTGTGGAACTGATTTAATAGGTCTATAATCTGCTGTTGATGGAATTTATTTATACAGTTTTACGCAGTTAAATTTTATAACAATTTACAAGATCTTTTTCTTTCATAAATTGTTATCAGTCAATTCGAGTCATATTTGATTTTATTACAGAATAGCTGCTTCTCATGATGGTTCTGGGAATGATTGCAATCCTAACGAAGGTTTTTATGTCATGACCCCGTTTTCGTATTTTCCACCAAACGAACCCTATATATCTCGACCGTGGTTGTTTTCGAGATGTTCTGCAGATGCTTTTATGAAGGCGGCTCCAAGGTATCGTAGACATGGAATGATAATTTTGGAAACATTTGCCAGAATGAGTTTCAACGACCCAATGGCAGAAGGATTTAGATAGAAAGCAAGGTGGCTAGAGTGTCCAGTCTGGTAATAAAAATCCACATAAGCAAAACTAAAGGTGCTGACAAGTAGGTGCCAAAATGCACATTATTAAATATCTCTTTTGATTTTTGCAGTAAAACTTGTCTCAGAGTAAAGAACAATGTGAACAGTTTTCCTGTGGTACCTATTACGTATGGTCAAACCTACAAAGCTGATCAACAATGTAAACAGTTTATAGACGATACCTCCAGCTATTTCTGTAGGGTAATTTAACACCGCTTCTTGCTTTGTCAGCTCTTCCTGAAAAGATCAAATTACCACCGTCTTCACACTTCTGTCATTATAGGGAATTTTACCGCTTATTAAAGGCGAATTATATTATCATCTTCAAAGCAAAACTTCTTATCTTCGAAGTCTTTTGTAAGTTTACATTTGAAATAAAAAAAACACCCCCGTCTAGAAATTTTATTCGAAAATTTGTAAAGTTTGTCTGAAAATTGTCCATTTTACTAACAAACTGGTGAATGGTGTGTCTATGTTGGCATTTTTCACTAAGCGCAGCCATTCTAAAACTATTAAGGAGTTCACATTCGCTTTAAAAAAAAATGGTAAATTGGCTCCACCAGTGAGAGTGTGAAATTAGTAAAAATGTGGATTTGACATACATCTTTGCTATTGGAATACTTCAGGGTGATCAAGTAAGGAATAGGGGCTATGATTCTATATGTATAGAAATGTGGTGTTATTTTCCAAGTGCTGGTAAATGCAACCCTAATGCTGCATTTGAATACACATCTTGTGGCGATAAAAAGGTAAGAATTTGGAGGATTATTCTGCTTTGCCTAACTTTTAACTTAGGCGTGTAGTTCGACCTGGTGAAATTGAATCACATTATGATGTGTTAGAGACATTTCTGCGAAAATGCGCTAAATTCAGAAAGCCGTATTAACTATATCCAACGCCCTATTTGTCTGTAATGAAGTATCCTGTATATAACATCACTGTGACGTCGACTGAAACGCATCTTGTTTGACTGAAATATTATAATAAATATAGATCTGAACGGTCTGGAAAAAAAAATCAAATATTAGTACTCTGACTTCGTGATCCTTACAAAACGGTGACATATTCAGCTAAAACATCCAAATATCTCGATAACTGTTTTATAGTTCTAGCAGTTATTTGAATAAATCAAAATCTTATGGTATCAATTAATTTGTTTAATTGTTACTAAATAATTTCTATTTACTTTCAGTGGTGCGAATTTGGACGATGTGTTTATAATGAAAATGCACCGAGTTTAATCGGTAAGCTACTCTTTAATTTTGAAAATTTAACTGGTGCAAATTGATGCTTTTAGTGTCTCCAAACACATTTGATATTAAGAAATATTATATTATGAAGCTTTTAATTTTTAATTTATGGCTATAGCCACCAAGATATCCGTTTCAGAAATTTTATGAGCAGTTGGTTAGAATTCCACAAAACATACTATGGGAATTTAAGGCAAGAAGCCTTTGAGAAATTTGGTTAACATTATGTAAAATGTGTATTAGAGTGTTTTGAACTTAAACCATCATTCTTGTTATGATCAGTTCTATGTAAGAATGTTTTAATCCTTTTAATACATATTCCAGTAGTATCTGGGTGTAGTTTCAATGGGACCACCTAAAAACTTTATTGTTGAATTCGGTAATCTACTTGTTAAATTATTAAATTTTGGTTTCAGAAAACTGTCCATTTGGAAACCAACCTGGTGAATCTTGCTCTAGAGATGCTTGTGACCAATATTCAGTTGCAAAGAAAGCCAGATGTTGCTCTACATGTTTTGGGCCTGCTTTTACACCTGCTCCTACACCTGCTCCAACTCCTGCTCCAACTCCTGCCCCTACACCCGTTCCAACTCCTGCTTCAACTCCTGCTCCTACACCTGCTCCTACACCACCTCTAACTCCTGCTCCAACTCCTGCTCCTACACCAGCTCCTACACCAGCTCCAACTCCTGCTCCAACTCCTGCTCCTACACCAGCTCCAACTCCTGCTCCAACTCCTGCTCCTACACCAGCTCCAACTCCTGCTCCCACACCTGCTTCAACTCATGCTCCTACACCTGCTCCAACTCCTGCCCCCACACCTGCTCCAACTCCTGCCCCCACACCTGCTCCAACTCCTACTCCCACAACCGCTCCAACTCCTGCTCCTACACCTGCTCCCACACCTGCTCCAATTCCTGCTCCTACACCTGCTCCAACTCCTGCTCCAACCCCTGCCCCTGCACCAACCGCAGCTCCCGTCCTTCCTCCTTGTCGAAACTTTCTTTGTAGGTGGTGTCGTGCAAATCCAAGAAGACGTCTGTATGGATGGTGCGTCAGATATAGAAATTAAGCAATAAAATTCTTCTCTTCTTTCTCCTTTATTTCTTGTTATTAAAAACAATATGAAACTATACGAGTTGATGGTCACTATCACAGAATGATTTGAATTTGAGTAGTAGATCTTTTTGGTGAAAGACTAGTCATCTAGCCCTACCCTTTCTTCGAACGTGATATACGAATGGGATAAAGACTGGCACACTTTATGGTTTCCATTTTTGGGTCACTAGTTTTTGAGTTTTTGTCGCTTGAAAGGCGAAACTTTGGAGTTTTGGAATGGGAAAATCGTATACCAGCTGTTTTGTGGCACCATTTTGGGCACTGGGACATTGCAGAATATCCCGCAATGTCTTATGCGTCTCAATAATCGTTCAGCTGGATTTAAACTCCAGAATTTATTCGAAATTTGGCTTTTAACATTCCCCACAAAAATTAGTGACCAAAAAATGGATCGGAGCAACTTGCATCACGTCCAAGGAACGGATAGAGCCAGATTTTTCGGGTTACTTGTATCTAACAACTATAATTTAGCGTTGTTGAAACCAACATTGCTTTCCCAAATAGCCAATCGGCAACCAAATGAATTGCTGCTCAGGTCTATGTTTTCTAGATCTTTTCTTCCATTTGAGTAGTTAAACTTTTGTGACCACGCAGTTGATCGTAGTAGAATCGCCGGAGTCCACCTTTATGACGCCCCATAACATAATGTAACGCACAAAATCCTGGTAGATCTAATATGAGTACATGGAAACATACGCTTTTTCATTCTGTAACCTGGAAAGAAATGTCTCTGCTATCAGTGGCGTATTTAGACCCCCGGTCTCTAGGGACTTTACTTTTACTTTTTTATTCGTTTGAATTCAAATATGTCAGTTATTTATGCTGAGTAATTTCACAAATTTTTTTCAAATCAATATCAATAACCCAAATACAACAAATAATTAAATCACACAGCTCTAATCAAGGGCAAAAAAAATAAAAAATTTGACGCGATTTTCCTAAGTCAACTCAAAAACCGTTCATCGAAAAATCATCAAGTTCAAACTTGTTCACGATCTCATCATTATAATGATCACACCAAATTTCATTAAAATCAGTTCTAAAACTGTAGTTTCTATTGTGTTCACAAACAAATTTTGACGCGTTTTTCCTAATTCAAGGGCAATAACTCAAACCGTTCATCAAATATACGTAAAGTTAGAACCTGTCCGAGATCTTATCAATTCCAATGATTACACCAAGTTTCATCAAAATCGGTTGAAAACTGTAGCTTCTATTGTGCTCACAAACAAATTTTGAAGCGGTTTTACAAAGTCAAGGGCAATAACTCAAAAACCGTTCATCGAAAATGCATCAAATTAAAACTTGTCCGAGATCTTATTAATTCCAATGATCACACCAAGTTTCATCAGAATCGGTTGAAAACTGTAGCTTCAATCCTGCTCACGAACTATTTTAAACAAATTTCGACGCGTTTTAACAAAGTCAAGGGCAATAGCTCAAAAACCGTTCATCGAAAATGCGTCAAGTTAGAACTTGTCCGAGATCTTATTAATTCCAATGATCATACCAAGTTTCATCAGAATCGGTTGAAAACTGCTGCTTCTATTGCACTCACAAACAGATTTTGACACGTTTTACAAAGTCAAGGGCAATATCTCAAAAACGGACCAACGGACAGGGTCGACGACAATGTACGACCACATACTCATGTGAGCGTATAAAAACTACAACATTCAAAAATTGTAGTAAAGTAAAGTACACACGATATTCTACTTTTCAAATCGGGCAAGTTAGCTTTAAATCCAAAGCTGAATAACGACAGAATCGTTATCATTGTGAGTACAGGATAGAGCCTACTATCAGCTGAGGATGACAAAGAAAAGTTTGACTGGCGCAACTCAGTGTAGAGGTCGAAAAATGTTTCAATTGACACAATTGATGGCAGTTGTATCCTATAGAAAATGGTATAGTACACTGGGTGTACAATTGTACAATTAAGGGGCAGACAGATAGACCCAATGGTCAACTTTCTGGAGGCTTCATAGTCGCAAGCCTCACATGGAGCGTCTGAAATGCTACTCCCAAGAAATGTTTAGAAAACTTGAATAGTTTTAAAGCATTCTGACAACGTATAAAAATCATATATTTCTAAATTTGTTAAAAATATGGTGGGGTACAATTGGGGGTGCAAACCATTTTTCTAGGGGTGTAATTTGCCTCCTTGTACCTCCACTGGGTTAGAATGGGCGTATCAGTATCATTTCTTGGTTTGTCTTTATCATTTAAGATGCTTCGAAAATACAATCAGAAAAAATCACTGTCAAAAGTAATATATTACTCAGAGATATTAATATCCCTTATTATCGTTTCTAGCAACAAATAAACCACGACAATTTCCATAGCATAGGGTAGGATTCTGCAGCCTAAAATAAGAGACTTCATTATGACTGGGACCATTCCATTACGGAATAATACAGATACATGTATTTCAGGATTATAGCTTTGTAAGAAATTGTTTTATTAAAATCATTTCAAAACATGCAAATAGATAAAACAAAATGGTTTTCCAGGCCAGCTGGCTATGAAAATGGGAGAACATGACAAAATCAAACATCAAGTGTTTTCAAAATTTGTAAAAGGGTGGACCAAAATGTTAACAACAATTAATATATCATATTTTATACAATATAATATGGTTTCATCTTCTCAAACCACCATTTTAAATTTCTACAGTAAAAAAATATCTACATTTACATAGATTTTTTATTTATTAAAAACAAAGTTTTATACACAATATTTATCATGTGCAGTTTTGTCTTTGGATATTTGCAAAAAAAAGTATCTTTCATTCAGAAAAACTTCTCATATCTTTATGGTCTAAATACAGAAAAATAAGAGAAGCCAATTCATTACTAGACATATATTATAAAACATTTCACTGTGGACGTTTTCCCCTTAGGTTTGAAACTTAATCTTAAAGTACTGATCCTTTATATGAAAGCTGAAATCTTTTAGAAAGTCGGTGAATTATAATAACTTGTAAAAGTGTATTCCATGTACATATATATTTATATAAAGCATCGATTGTAAAATATACACAATTAAAGTGATGTTATGGCAGTAACACTGCAGTTCTAAGTAGAAAACTATTATACTATGTAAGTACTAAATTAAATAGCTAATAAACAATATAGAGAAAAAACTCACGCAAAAATAAGATATATTCTGGCAAAAAAACATAAGTAAGATTCTATGGAATAAATAATATTAAAAAATAAACATAAATAAATAATACTGAGACATAGAGAGTAAAATAAACTGTACTTGGATAAGATTTGATCACAACCATCAAGTTGCCAATTCAGTTGAAAATTGAACAGAAGTAATAAAGTTAGGATAAATAAGTGTAAATTTAATATTCTTCATTGCCACAGTTGATTAAATATTGCCCCTTCCTATTGTCACTTTCTTGAATACTACACAATAACGTAAAGAATTCAAAATCTTTGTTTTGTACATGAGGCACTAACTCACATAACATGTATGGTAATATTTATCAGTTGACTTGTAAATTGATGTCAAGCTTAATTCTATATATTTACTGTCAGACTTTTCTCCAAGATAGCTTGCCAGGCAAGGTAATATACGCCCACCGGCAGCTTTGATTTTGAATAAAAATATAAATATTTAGCAGTACAGTAACAATCACCAGTATGAAAAATTCAACCTTCAGTCATACACTTCTTTTGAACTCTTTAGGGTGATACTGAATAATATTGAGTATGAGTTATTGCCTTTGAAAACGTGTTCAATCTTTAGCTCGTGAAAACTCTAGAAGACAAATATTCAATCTTCAGTGCGGTACTGAATAATAAAACCAAGTTTTGTCAAAATCCAGCAAGAATCATGCCTTCTAGAGTTTTTATGAGCTACATATTGAACGCGTTATAATAACAATGACTCATACTAAATATTTTTTCGATTCTTCTGATTTTCAATTAGGGTCATCCTTGGGTGATAACCAACACTCAAGCCAAATTTTGTTAAAATCCATCAAGAATTGTCCCTTCTAAAGTGTTTCCAAGCTAAAATTTGAACGCATTTTCAAGAACAAGGGCAATAACTCATACTAAATATTTATCAATTTTTCTGATTTTCGATAGGGTTTACCCTTGGGTGATTACAAACAACCATACCAGGTTTCGTCGAAATCAGTCAAGAATTGTGCCTTGTAGAGTGTTTACGAGCAATTGTGGACGGTTGGACCGACCGACTGACGGACCGACGGAAAAAGGTGACGGCAATATACCCCCCCCCCATTTCATCTGGGCGTATAACAATGAGAGAAACATTTAATTATCATCATAAATCCTGAATTATTTTGATTTTGAGTACCATAATAAAAGTTAATGATGGTGTCCATACAGCAGAAAATTCAAAGTCAGCTATAACAAAAATTTTATGAGAGCGTTTTTAACCATTTCAATAGCCAATTTAACCATTACTTTACTAAACATTAATGAAAATCAAACTCATCATTGATAGATATATTTATAAGTTTACAAAATTTCATCAAAAATTCTATAAAAAACATCTGTTAAAATATTTAGTAAGGGGTAATTACTCAAAACTAAACTTTATTTCAGATCTGATCAATATGCACAAGCATATAAAGTTTCACAAGAAACGAATTGCTTTCACAACCAACCAAGGACAGTCAAGGGGTGATGACAACATAAACATGTGGAAGTATATATATAAATTTGTTTTACTTTATAATCATAATGGTTAGGTCCAGTGGCGGAGCCAAAGGGGGAGCAGAGAGGGCGGCCGCCCCCCTTGCAGCCCCGAAAGCAAGTTTTTCGGGCAAAAATCTCATAACTAGGTTTAAGATTCGGGCAATCTCAGATATCTCGCCCCCTCTCGAACGTAAACCTGGCTCCGCCACTGGTTAGGTCAATCAGTCAATATATGGAATTAGCTTCAAATAATTCATAACTCTATTCAACTGGCTTGACAGATTGAGCAAGCATTACTTCTTTCAATAGAGTTAACTTAAAGACATTTTGTGTAAATTTTTAGCAATTAACTTCTGGAAGACATAGATTTGTCCACTGAAAATTTTTTGATCATATTTAATCTGGATTAGATATATGATAAATAACTAAATAAATTAAATCAGTATGATACAAGATACATTTAGTATCTCAAACATATTTAAATTGCACAGGTCCAGTTAAATAAATTATGTTATATAAATAAATCTTCATAGCAAACATATTGCACTTATTATTGCACATGATAATAAATTATATTTTATATACTGACATCTTTTTCATGTGTTTTATTCTTGAAAATTGAACTAAGATTTTAATGAAAATTTAGGTAAAACATCCTTGTCTAAAATGACTTTCTTACCATTTCACATGGTCAATTTTGATCTATTAACATACATATAATAGTTGTAATAAAGAGTTAGAACAAAAAGTAATGGTGAAATTAAGGCTGTATTGTTGTTTGAATTTGAAATAATATAAAAAATCCTTCGAACATTAATAGAGAAATCAAAACTGACTTCACCATATTAACATAAACTCATATTGATGAACTTTGGGAGATATAATTTAGTTACAGTTTCTGTTTCAATGAAACTGGCAATGAATCTATTTTTGCCTTTGACCAATCCAGTTAAATTTTCAAAAATAAAGCTACAGATTAAGAACAAGTAAGATATTTTCTGAAATACAAAGTGATTTCCAATAGAAGTACAAATAAGTTATATAAATATAAGGTTACCTATATATAACCACATTATTATAATACAAATATCACATTTGGTTTTCATTTACAAATATATTCTATGTACAATTATAAAATTAGAAGGGGTATAGGACATGATAGTGATATTTGTATTATATAAAGTGACAAGATGATACAAGCCAGGGACACACCAGACAGAAGGATTTTTCATCCTTGTCCATTTTACAAAACAAATATTATAAATAAAAAGAGAGAAAAAATTCCAAAAACAAATCAATCTTTTAGGAAATTCCAAAAATTACATTCCAAACATTATTAGAAAGCTAGCAACGACTTAAAATTTATATACAGAGAAAACCTATTACATAAGTTTTGATATTAAAGATGGATTTCCTTATATTCATTTATGAAAATGAAAATGTTAATATTAATATTAATAGTGTTCTGATGACTTGGGAAAATATCAGTTTGTCTCTCATGTCTTAAATTAATTCATAATTAGCTAAATTAGAAGAGAATTACCAGCAGAATTCCAATGAGTGACCGATCAAGAAAGATCATGGTCTTTTTTTGTTTATCTAGACTGTACATACATGGACATTTATGATTGGTTAAAACTTTTATTTATATGCAATAAGAATATAATGATATGATTAAGAGTACATGATAATTCATTAGAAACGCCAATTGATCAAATAGTTTGAAACTAAAAAATAAGGAAACCCATCTGTAAATAATTTTAATGAAATATTTCACTTAATTTCCTTGAAAATTTGTTTAAATTCCAGATATTTTTAGATAAGTTAGAGTGTTGCTAATCTTTCTAATAACATTAAAAGAAAAATAGACTAGGTTTTTTTATACAATTTGGCCGCTTTGTGTTTCACACTCATTCACTTTTCTCACAAAATACAGAATGTCCATAAATTTTCAACCCACCCTTAAGCACTCTCTATCTCACTTCCACACAAAGTCAATAAATAAATAAATTGAAGTTTAAAAAAAGCTCATTCTGACATCATATTTGCTATAAGGCAGTAACATTTATAGATTTATTGGGGGTTAATGCTGCATCCTCAACACTGCTATTTCTTGATGAAGGGTCAGAAATGGGACTCTGTCGTCTTTCTTGTGACGAGTAGTTATTAAAGTCCTTTATTTCTTGAACACTGAAGCCACCAAGATGGTCCAAATAAGGTTCACGTTTTGTTTTGCTATCCCGTTTATGACGTATTAATTCACGAGCGGCTTGGTCCATTTCATCAGGTGTCATATCAGTGGCCTCCGCTATTTCTTGTTGTAAAATTCTAGGATCAACATATCTGTTTAATCCTTCTTTCTTTAATACCTACAAATAATAACACAATATCAAGTTTGATTAGTCTTTGATTTAAGCCATATATCTAGGGAAAAATCCCACCCTCTTCGTGAATTTAAAAAATAAAACATTGAAATTTACATTATATAATAAGTACAACTGTCATCCAAACCATCCAAAGGTCTGTATCAAAGTATAAAAGTGACCTTAACAAATGATTACTAAATGTTCCTTCATAAGCTCAATGAGGTACTGCAATATAGGACCTAAAACTCCATTTCATTCTATTCCTTTGAATTATGAACAAAAACAGCACACAAAACAAGATCTTGAAAAATTATTCTATAAGACAGACTTCAAATGATACCCATATTTAAATATAGTCTGAGCAAAACAGAATTGTCAAAATAAATACAATACTCTTAACACCATTATTATTCGATTCTTACTTTTTGCACAAGACTTTCAGCACTACTTCTTCTTTGTTGTGCTCTTTGATATTGAGACAATACATGATGTGGAATAGTTAAAGGACCTCTGTCTAAACTTCTATACAATGGACCTTCATCATCCATATTGTAGGCATCAAGACGATTGTTTGGTGGATCTTTTTTATTCACTGAAATAAACAAAACCCTTTTCCATTGAATCCTAAATTGTTCCTAACTGCAAACTTACATCACTATTCTGTTATCAATGACACCTTAACCTATGTTCAAGTTCTAACTACAACTTCATATAACAAATGGTAAATAAAAATCACAAGGATCAGAAAAATGATGAGAAACATAAGTGTAAGATCAAGTACTTTTCAATGTACCCTAATCACTAATTAATGGAAGTCGCATTGGTCAGTTGATTGTTAACTAATAGATACTGACCTGTTTGCATACGTCTCATTGTACCAGGAGAGTTGTGAGGTATACGAACAGCATTAGGATGATTGGATTCTGGTCTTTGTTTACCATCGGCATTCATTCTAGCTACAGCCATTGCCTGAATTATGCAACAAAAATATTTGTTAGAAATTTGAAGAACTGGTTATATCAGCTCAATAAAATTGCAGATTTTGATTTTTAAAATTGTTTTTATTTCTGTAGCTTACTACAGCTCCTATACACCATGCTCTGACAAAATTTTTCTTTTAATTGCATTGTGTGTAATAGGAACCATAAATGTCAATGGTTGTTATACTTTCATGCTTTCATTCCAAATCTAAAGTGGAGAGACCCACAGCAAAAGCATGACACCAAACAACTGTATTTGCTTTTTCAGATTGTCTTCTACTTTCTTTACAGGCTATTACTTTAAAAACGATCTGAACTACAGCTCAAAAAACATCTCTAACAGTATTTTATCATTTTACCATAGTTTGTGATAATTATGTAAACATCCAAACAAAATAAACTTCTACATATCAGTATATCATATTAATGCTCATGGTTTGGTATTGGAGTCAAATATTTGAAGTATCATACTGCAGTATTTCAAAGTACAGAAGAAGCTACCTATACAAACTTATAATATAAATCTTACCTGTGATTGAGTTAATCTCAAAGGCTCAGCAACTTTCCTCATCAATGGATTCTCATCGCTTTCTTGTTTTCCTATACAGGCTAATCTAAATGAAGCACCTTTACGACTTAATTTCCTGGGAGGGGGAGGTGTTGGTGGACTTTGCTCTCTTTCATAATCACTGTCCTCTTGTGGAAGACTGAAACGAATAATCAAAATAAAAACCATTGAACTTGACCACTCATAAATAAGCTTTACATGGACAATAACCAAGGTTTCTGGGATCACAAGCTATTCCTTGCCAAACATTTAAAGCTAAGTCTTCTGGAATTATGGAAACAATGAGTTGTACAAGGTCACCAGATTTCTATATGCCAAAAAGAACCCACAACCATTATCTCTGTGTGGTAGGTGATATCTCCAATACTTAGAAAACTTATCTGTAAGTTAGACTATCAATACTTACTCTCTATAGACATAGATACCATGTCTCTTATCATATAAAGTTGTAGGGGGTATGTTATGATCTGTTACTTGTTGTTCACTTGTAGATTGACTGATTACTGTATCTAAATCAGAATCAGGAACTTCCGTTTGATTATCTTCTATTTCAGACTCTTCTACTTCTTCTTCCTCTTCTGATGATACATGGGAACTAGAATATACATAATATGATACATGGGTAGTCAAATTTATACATGAGAACTGAAATATACACCATAACTGATAATACAGATAATTTTTTGAAAATATGATGATAAAGATGATACATGGGAACTAAAATATGATAATAAAGATGATACATGGGAACTAAAATAAGATAATAAAGATGATACATGGGAACTAAAATAAGATGATAAAGATGATACATGGGAACTAAAATATGATGATAAAGATAATACATGTGAACTAAAATATGATGATAAAGATGATACATGGGAACTAAAATATGATAATAAAGATGATACATGGGAACTAAAATATGATAATAAAGATGATACATGGGAACTAAAATATGATAATAAAGATGATACATGGGAACTAAAATATGTAAAATGATACAGATGGAGCATGGAACTATAGTTTACACAATGATAGAGATGATACCTTACAAATAAAAAAATAAAACAATTTTTATATCACAGTTTGGTACCAGTATTTGATTAAATGAAAAGGGATGATATTCTTCCATACACATTTTACATTGTAATGTTCATGCTATAATCAGTTTTTAACCTCAATTTCTGGTTCAATTTATACTTATTTCTTTTTTTTTAACATTAATTACATTAACATTGTCCTGATAAATAGGTCTACAAATATAATACAGGAAATGATCCAAAGGTTTATATAATTCTTACCTAGTAACAGGTTCCTGTTGTGCTATGAACTGTGAAACTAATGATACTGGTTTAATATTATGGGATGGAACGTGGTTAGAGTAGGGATGATCAGCACTAATTATATGATTGACAGCATTGGTTCCTGGTTTTCCATTTACTGTTTTATTGGCAACATTTTTTGGCGGAACTGTGGTATTGGCATTCCATGATTCACTGGGTGTAGGTTTGTCTTGTGGTTGTGTTGAATTTACATACAGAGATTGTGTTCGTGTTAAAAAGGGAAGAATGGTTTTACTGCTACTGGTTATGGCATTCACTACACTACCAAATAGAGTGTGATTTCTCTGTAAATAGATTAAATTATCAAATAAACATTGAGAAACCATCCAAAAAGAATATCATCAAGTTGTAAAAAGGTAAACATTTATGAAAAAGAGCCAAATTACATTGGCATAATTTTCAACACAGTTAATTTATTGAACATCAAATATCTGCAATTGCATTTCCTAATTCCAGGCAGTGTAAATTTCACAAATTGACTGTTATTTTTCTGAAATGGGTTTTAAAAAAAAGAAGAAACTGACCCTATGCATAGGTTCTTCAACTTCTTTCTCCTGGAATTCTTCTTCATCAAGATTACCAGATATAGCTCTTCTTATTTCTGGTCCTAGATCATGTACTGCTCGTAAACCAGCCTTTAAAGTTAAAAAAGATAGGATATATCTAATATATATGAGGACAGACTGATTAACTATAACACATATCAGTAAACTGATATATAATATTTTTCCCATGGATAACTTTTAAGATTCCTGTTTCCTGTCTAATAGCTGGTGTTTTAGAACTTATAAACCTATATGAAATTTACATTATCGGTCATGCCAATCCATGTCTTCTAAAATGTTCCAAGGCTGACAAATTACTTACCTGTAAAGCTTTAGCATGTTCTTGACCTTTCTGTATTTTCTGTATCTGTTCTTTTCTTTTTTTAAAGCGGCGGAAATAATCTTGTATAAGAAATGTTGCATAGAATTTGCCCACAGTGACATCATCATCACCTGCAGGAGGAACTACTTGATCTAGAAGTTTGGGGCTGGTTTTTTTCCATATCTTTTTAATTACAGCTCTCAATTCTTCATTAGCTTGATCTATGTTCCCTTCTGTTTTGATTTTTAATGATGTACGTACCAAGGCAAACAATGTTGCATTGAACGTCACTGTGCCGTCACTATTTAATGGCATATTCATGGACACTAATCTCTATAAAAAAACATGAAATGATGTTTCAAATTTGTGAAAACTTAAAAAAAGACTACACACAATAGATATAAACATCTATTAATTGATAGAACAATTTACACAAGCATAAAAAAAAAAACACTACCAGACCAAGCTGACTCACTAACTATAGTATATGACTAGAGATTGAGCACACATTCAACAATATACAGCAAATTAGTCTACAAGAAAAGCCATTGGCTAGGCACCAATTTTAACATTTGTCAGAACTTTTAAGTACCTGTATTTTAATGACACTTTCCTTATTTCAATTTCAATATTATGATTGCATGATTTCAAGACATGATAAAGATACAAACCTTGCAGGCAACTCTGTGAGGACAAAGTTTTCCGAAACCCAAAGGCGGGGATATTTTTCTAAGTAGAGTTACAACATCTAAATGTTTGATACGACCTCTGTAACAGAACAGAAACATAAAAATATATCATAAGATGTTCTCCAAAAAATATAAAATAGGTCATCAGATTAACTGTAATTTTAGCCAGACTTTTTGATTGATTTACAAAAATGTGAAATTCAACTTTCACACATTACCTCCCCTCTTCCCTAATCATTTTAAAAATCAACCTCCAATAACATCCAAGTTAACTTACTTTGCTTCAGGATCATACTCTGACCAAAAACGCACAAACTCATCTAGATGGTGTGGACCTAATATAGACCAATCTCTTGTTAAATAATCAAAATTATCCATAATAACAGCAACAAATAGATTAATAATCTGAAAATATAAACAATTACAATTAGAAATAACTGTGTGTAGATAACAACATAAATAGAGTGAACAATATCAAGAAAGTTAAAGGGGCATTGTCGTCTATACCTGTTTATTGAGCTCCTTTCAGAATGGAAATCAGACATCTGGTATCAGCAAATAAAGAAACAAGATATATGATTTACACCTGCCAAGCAATCTGCAACATATGTAGCCTGTAGAAAAGGGAGGCTTTTTTTTTTACACATTTAGCCTACAATTCAACTAATAAAATTAAATACTTACCAAGAAAGAACATAACACATAGAAGGATATAAAATATATATAAGCAAAGTCAGAGCCACATGATTCCGTGTTGGTACCATTGATAGAATGGGAATCAGCTCTAGGATCACACAAAACACCCTCACTGTTGGTACAAGACAACATAATATCTTGCCATGCTTCACCAGTCGCTGACCTATAAAACATAACAAAATATATTCTTTTCATGATTTTAAGGCTTGTGTTTTCTTAATCATCTTGGTATTTCACTGATATTTTTCATGCAAAATGGAATATTCCAATTATTACAGAAAATCTGAGATAGAGTTAATAATTTTAGTTTGTAAAGTAGTAATAAGAATTGGTCTACATGCTCTACTTGAAATTCCTTATGCCACATTTGCTTTGAAAACAAATTGCTATCACTGACTGCATTCAAATACCAAATACTTACCTAAATAATACTAATAATGCGTGAATAAAGGTTTGAAAATTGTTGTTTCGATGAATTTGTGTATCATCATCCAATCTAATTTTACCAAATATCTGAAAGAAAATTCATTGATACAAAATATATATCAATGATATACTCTTTCACAGAGAAGATGAAAGTTATCTTCAAAACATAGAAATACCTGTAAAAGACGTCACTGAACTAGAAAAAAAGCTTTCTCTTCTAATTTATCTTTCTTGTTCATTTATATACTGCTTATTACAAATCACACATAGTTACCTGCATTCCAATAACTGCATAGATGAAGAAGAGCATTACAATTAATAATGCAACATATGGAAGAGCCTGGAATAGAATTATAATCAACAATTAAGACACTGTTACATATGAATTGGTTACATATCAATTGGTACTCGGTACTGAATTACAATATCACTTCACTTATTGTGGGAATTACAAAGATAGTGGACCACAAGCATAAACGCCCTTCACTGCATGCGGATGTTAAAAACGAATCATTCATTTTAAGTTTCATCAAAATCGGTTGAAAACTAAGAGAGTAATAGCATATTCAAGATTTTGGGGCAAGGGCAATAACTCTGATTCTAACGGAGGAAAATAGCTCAAATTCGAACTTTATCTTCGTTTTATGTATATGTATACACATACCGAATTTCATTTGATTCCATCAACAAATCTAGTTTTTAGAGCATTTTCGAGCAATTGTTGTTGATAGAAGCACTTACTGTATAGAGGTTAAAGGGCTATAACTCCTCAAAACTGACGTAAGAGGCCTAAATCTTGAAAAAGCCTTGAATTTAATCAGAAGTAAACTAAACTTTCTCAAACCTTTCGATTTAGGTCCAATAACATCCATTTTAAGTTTCATCAAAATCGGTTGAAAACTAAGAGAGTAATAGCATATTCAAGATTTTGCAGCAAGGGCAATAACTTGATCTTTGTTTTATGAATATGTTTACACATACCGAATTTCATTTGATTCCATCAAAAAATCTAGTTTTTAGAGCGTTTACAAGCAAATGTTGACTGACCGACAGATGCACAGAGTGTTTACGAGCAATTGATGTTGATAAAAGCACTTACTGTATAGAGGTTAAAGGGCGATAACTCCTCAAAACTGACGTAAGAGGCCTAAATATTGAAAAAGCCTTGAATTTAATCAGAAGTAAACTAATCTTTCTAAAACCTTTCGATTTAGTTCCAATAACATCCAAGCAAATGTTGACGGACGGACAGGGGTGACGACAATATACATCCACATAGAGAGATGTGGGCATATAAAAATAATGTCAAATGTAACTGCACCTGCAGCTTCTTTTGGTAGGTCAAGATCAATTTGACTTGTAAGTTATAAGTACAAAATAAGTCAAGCACTTACCTGAAATGATTTAATAAATGTCCACAACAAGGTGCGAATGCCCTCTCCTCTACTCAGTAGTTTCACTAATCTCATAACTCGGAACAGACGGAAAAAATTAATACTAATAATAGTTTGACCATCCTGAAGAGTAATAGAGAGAATACTGAACAATTTAAAACATTGATGAACATTTTCTTCACTTGAATACAATAAAAGACCAATGTAGCAGGCATAGATATGGACAAACCTTTGTACAGTGGTAAATTGGACTGATATTTTCAATTGAATGTTTTAGAAGATGAATGAATTGAATTAACAAATCATCTGATCATAAAAGAATGATGTAAACCATATACAGAGCATAGTCTGGTAATTTTTTTTCAAACTTGGAATGGATTAAGATAATAGGTAATAAGAATTTAGATCTTTAGTCTATGAGTAGTTTTCAGAAGTGTAGAATTGAAACATTTTGATGTCAACATCAAGAGGTTTTCTAGATATAGATTGGGTCTCAATAAAGGTTATTGACTACAGATTTAAATTTCTTTCTTATAAGTCTACAGCACAGACAATTGCGCATTGAAAAACTCTTTTGATTCACTTTTTAATAATGAGGGATGGCAGCAAGGGCGCAGAGGCATGGTGGCCAGGCAGCAATTTTCAGGTTGTTCAACACAGGGCTCAGTCAAAGGCAGAATTGGATTGATGACAAAAACTTAATCAAAGAGGCAAAATAGATTCAAAAATTTCCAAGCAATTTGCAATCATAATGAATCCCAGGCTGCAAACTTAAGATTTTTTTTTTAATTCATTGAGGAAAATAAGGCATATTTCATCAGATTCCATGAAAGCACAAACTTAATTCCAAAAAGGCATCATTTCTTCATGCAAGCATTTTCATATAATTTTCAAAGACTCTCAATGTGGTAAAGGTAACTGAAGAGATAGATTTTTTAATTTTAAGCATTTTAAGACATGCCAGTTGATGGATTAATTGAAATATTAACAATTGTTATGACTAACATACTGGACTAAACAAGAAATTGAACAATCATGCAAGTTAAAACCTAAATTAATCATGCAATCAAACCTAATATCTTTCATGCACTACAATTTAACAATGGAGATTTCACATGCAAAACAAAATAATAAAAAAGATCTTTCAACAGCAGAACATATTGACAAACATTTTCCAATTTTACATTTGAACAAGATCATTAATTTGATTGAATAGGCCATTCCCATACCAAAGATGGTGAGCACACTTAATCATTACATTTATAATATGGTAGACCACTGAAGTATTGGACTTAGTGAATAGTGCTCAAACAATGTAACATTTCATAACATGGTTTAATACATATAGAGATATGCCAGGTCAAATGCTCAAAATACCAGACGTATAATGCATACATAATTTGGGGAATTTGCATATGAAATGGTTGGGGCTGGTAAGATACAGTGAAAACCAATTCATAAGGTTTTTAATAAAGTCATGTCTTTGGAATATGCTCGATAAAATTGTTTCAGCATAACATATTTTTTCACAAGGTCACCACAGTCGATTGTGACTCATGATTAGAGGTGTAGACCAGATTAAACATGTCAATCACACACAATATTGTAGACATTGTGCTCTCTTATAGGGACATTCATTATTAACATCATGCAACAACTATGTATAGCGCATAAAAAACTTTGAATATCCAAGCGCAGTTACCCATTTTAAGCCTGGTTATATCAACATCCTTTAAGGCAACAGTTATATTGTGTGCATCAAGACACAATCGCAAATATATATAATCTCCTAACAGTGCATTTGCTTCTAATAAGAAACTTGGAAGGGTCAGGTATAGTGTTAGGAGGAATTGCTCTAGGATCTACCGATATGCATTATTAACTATAAGCATGAGAAGCACTAAGTTAGCTCTATATCTATGTTCGATAATATTTAGCATATTTAGCTTGATCTCAAATTATCTGCTCTTTTGTTCTGTGGAAAATTGTCAAATGCTTAAAGAGGCTCATATGCAATCAATCATGCCTTGGCATTATGTGAATAAAATAAAAACAAATTTTCATATTTCTTATGAAAAAAAATTTCAAAATTTCTTAGTACAATTATCCCGCAAGACCCTTAACTCGGTTTTATTCAAACTTCTTCTTAAACTATATACAGGACTGTTGTAACAGAATTTCTGGTGAAGAATTTTTATACTTAATTTAATGCCCCCAAAGTCTAACTCTAAATGACTTGTCCATAAATATCATAAAATTGACATCAAGGTTTGATTCAGAATAACTTGTTTTGCCCTTAAGAGGAAGTTCAAACTCGAAGTATTTGATGGCCTGGGCTATTCTTATGGATCAAAGTTTTTCTTCCTTAGGAAAGTTGGAAACAAGTGTTTTAAATAGGATCAGACTTGGTAATGCCAATTGAATTTGCCGGAAAATTCAGAACTGGCATTTGAAACTTCAGTCAAATGAAACAGCTTGAAAATAAAACTAGTAAAAATCACCCAATCAACAGCCCTGACAAGAAGTTATCTTTAAAGACATATAAAACACAACAAAAGCTCAATCTATACTTGTTGAAGACACATTGATACAGTATAAATATAATAATATCTAGATTATCTAAATGAGGACCAGTATTTGGTTTACCTTATGAGGATCATCCGAAAATTCCTGGATATAAATACAGTAGTTTTTAGTAATGTATAAAGTCTGTTATGTTAGTACTAAATTACTAGCTAAATGATACTAAGTGACATTTCTACTACCGAAAACTATATTAATCATGTTCAGTTCAAGTACCTAATTTATCAGTTTAAAAAAAAACTTTTCATGAACATTGATATTGGTGTTCACACTTATATAAACTGATATTGATGTTTATACCTATGTATAACAAATAGATATTGATACCATTAAAATTTGTTTATGCTATTACAAATTGATTTTTATATTATCATAATTTCTTCTATTACAAATTGATATTAATGTTTATACCCTATGCATAACAAATCAATATTGATGTTGTTACTTTTTCAGATTGTTGTTGTACTATATCAAATTGATGTTTATGTTTATACCATGAAAATTGATGATTATACAATAACAATTTGATATTGATGTTTATAATTATAATAATACAAATTGAAATTGATGATTATACAATAACAATTTGATATTGATGTTTATATTTATGATAATACAAATTGAAATTGATGATTATACAATAACAATTTGATATTGATGTTTATATTTATGATAATACAAATTGAAATTGATGATTATACAATAACAATTTGATATTGATGTTTATATTTATGATAATACAAATTGAAATTGATGATTATACAATAACAATTTGATATTGATGTTTATATTTATAATAATACAAATTGAAATTGATGATTATACAATAACAATTTGATATTGATGTTTATAATTATAATAATACAAATTGAAATTGATGATTATACAATAACAATTTGATATTGATGTTTATATTTATAATAATACAAATTGAAATTGATGATTATACAATAACAATTTGATATTGATGTTTATATTTATGATAATACAAATTGAAATTGATGATAATACAATAACAATTTGATATTGAAATTTAAATCATAACAAATTGATATTGATATTTACACTATGACAAATATATATTGTTTATACCATTACAAATTGAAATATAAAAATAGAACTACTAGAAGTAGAATTGTCACAACTTCAGGCTGAAAATTAGTCAGTTGTCTGAAGATCATATAGCGTGAAACTCTAACAACAACATGTTTTAATATTTCTATATTGCTCTACAATTGATGTATTTAGCACTATTTCAACAGTGAGAATTTTTTGTTGTCATTACCATTACAAATTGATTTTTATTGATTTTTAGTACCATTATAATTCATATATTAATGCAAATTGATTTTAATGTTTATACTATTATAAATTGATATCTATACCATAAGAAATTGATACTGATGTTTATACTATTACAAATTGATACTGATGTTTATACTATTACAAATTGATATTGACGTTTATACCATTACAAATTGATATTGATGTTCATACTATTACAAATTGATATTGATGTTTATACCATTACAAATTGATATTGATGTTTATACTATCATAAATAGATATTGATGTTTAAAGTAATACAAATTGATATTGATGTTTATACTCATACAAGTTGATATCTACTCTATGCTAAATTGATATTGATGTACATAGTTATACAAAACGATCTTTATACTATAATAATTTGATATTGATGTTATACTATTAACAGTGAAATTGATTCTTGATGTTTATGTAATTGCACATTTATATCAATACACAAATAATACAAAATATGGATATAATAGATAAATTTTGATATCTATACCCTTAACAAATAACTCCTTTCAAATCCACAGGAACCTGAATGATTAGTAAAATGGCAAGAATAATAATAAAAACTCCATTCTTATCTAAACTAAAAAATATCAATTAGATTAGTAGTATTATAAATGATATTGTGGGTGAAGAACATACTATTAGTAATCATCACCAGAAATATGTGCAGTTATAAAAAGCCACAAGCTAGATTTGATAATAAAAAGTTAAATTTGCTGAATAATGTAATAGAGATGGAGAAATTGAACGTTACTCACATTGACTTCAGTATAAATAATATCTATAAAACTACCAAGTACAATTATAAAATCGAAGACATTCCACGCATCACCAAAATAATTCTGAAAAATAAGATATGAATATTAGATTGTCTGTCAGACATAATAACTAGTCATGTGTCAAGTTTGATGAGTTTGTTACTGATACAAAGCCAATCACTTAATAGCATATAAGAATAGATTAACAGCACATCCATTCAATACCTCCAAAAATATACTGTTTTTTTTTGCCTATTATTAATAATTACATGGGATCATTAACTAGATATTACATTAGGTACAGTAAGTATGGACGAAAAAAATTAACAGAACGATCAACCTTCCATTTTGTGGGTAGCAGTTAAAATAACTAACCTTGAATCTGAAGGCTGCTAATTTGAGTAAAAATTCCACTGTAAAGACTCCAGTAAAGATCATGTTGAGGTAGTCTAATGACTTAGAATAAGGTATACTTTGATCATCATACTGAAATCAGATCAAATCAATTCTTTTAGCATCCTAGGTTTTCTGAACACCAGGAATCTAAGAGGAGGTGAAGTCTTCACAAAATTAAATTAAATTACCTACTACTATTGTGTACCCCTCAAAACTAAAAATCATCCACAAACATTTCATGTATTCAAAATGAATAAACAAAATATTTCAGGATTTATAAGCTACGTCTTTTAAATCAACACACTGAAACTTACAAACAAATATAAAAAGGTAAGTTAATACAGTATTAAGTTGATATGTTTTTTTTTAGGGCATCAATGGGATAAAAATAAAAGATTTTATGGTACAAACCTTCATGGCTAGTGCGATGGTGTTGATCATAATTAAAATAAAAATACCATATTCAAATGCCTGAGACGTAACAAACCACCAAATTTTATATTGTATTCGAGCTTTAGGTATATATCTTCGACTTGGTTTCACTTTTAATGCAAATTCTATGCATTTTCGCTGTAAAATTGAATCCAAATATATTAACTCTTTGTTTGTTGAACTACAAAAAGTGTAGCATGTTATGTATTTGTTTCAAAGTAAAAGACGAATGAAAAAACAGATGAATAAGATCTGTTTCATTCACATACAACTATTATAATTCTTCCATTGGTTAGATAAATTTGATCAATTAAATCCTCAAAGTTTTCATTGAAGAAACATGGAATTCTCTTTCCATAACTCATATAAACAAGTGGTTGCCTAGCAAGATACGTCCACTTTCCTGATACATTTTTAGTATATCAAGGTCAGTCACCAATATGCGTCAAATCATACTAAATATTCACACCAAATTTCATTAAATCAGATGAAAACTGTAGTCTCTATTGTGTTCACAAGCCAATTGTGGATGGACAGGGGCGACAAGCACATTATAATGTGGGCGTTAGAATAATCATCAAAATCATTATTTACCTGGTTTTTATCAAGTTCACAGTTTTTGTACTCCTGTTCTCCTTCATTTTGAAACGTGACAATAACAAAACCAACGAAGATATTCACCATAAAGAAGGCAATAACAATAATAAAGACAAAATAGAAGATGGCTACCACAGGTCTGTAGTTATGTATAGGTCCCATTCCCTCTTCATTAGAATCTATAGATTTATATAATAACCTGAAAATACAATCAACTTTATAAACTCTTCAATCTAAGGATAAAGCCTTGAGGGACTCATGAAATCTTAGAAGTTTTGATTATCAAATCAAATCTTTTCTGTACTAAGCATGTTCTATGCATTATAAAATAAATAATACTTTATTCAACTTACATTGGCCACCCTTCAAATGTGGCAACAGTAAATAAAGTGAGCATAGCTTGAGAAACATCATCAAAATTAAAGGCATTTTCTTCCCACTCTCTCTCTTTTTTTATTGGTTTTCTGAAATCTCCATCTTGAAACTCGACATAGTACCCTCTGAAATAAAGATTTGTTAATCAATTACTAATAAGTCTTTAATTGAAGTCTGTGACATACAAAATAAGTTTTTATGGAAAACATACTTCACAAAATACAGTTTTGGGAAAGACCTAACATTGGAATTTACCTAGAAATACTTCCAAATAACATGTAAAATAATATTGATATTTTTGTATTATTAAAAAGTGATATACTTACTGACAGTCTAGTTCTGTTAATTTTGAAGGATCTGTACAACTATAGAACTTCCCCTGTAAAACAGTTATTAATCAACATAGGATAAGTTGAGGAGATACATGTATTGAGCAAGATATAATAACACTTTAAAAGTAGCTTTTCAATTAAATTTTTTTCAATCTTTTTGAATATTTCTATTTAAGTTTCTTATGCTAAACTTTATTAAACAATTGCAAAAATAACATTTTTTACCAATTTTAATTAAAAAAAAATGTGATTTAAGTAATTTAGTCAAAAATTAAAATAATTTCTAGAAGGCAACTGACCTTAAATAACTGTACACCAATAACAGCAAACATAAACTTGAGCAGGAATGTCACTAACATAATATTATAGATAGTTTTAACTGCCACAATAACACACTGTACAACATGCTGTAACATAATATGACCATATATTAATATAATGATATAACTCAACAAGATCTCATAACAAATTATACTAGCGTTCATATTGTTCAGCCATCTTACTCCAAAAAATCTATTTCAAGTGTGATATTACAATTGTCTACTCATTAAAGTATCATTCAAAATATCAAAGCCAACGTCTTATATGGCTTCCCATGTAAGAAGACTGAAGTACCTAAAGATATTTTTGTTCTAAGCAATACTTTACACAAATACTTACTTTTAATCCTTTAGCTCTGTTTATGGCACGTAGTGGACGTAATACTCTCAAAACACGAAGAATTTTCACAACCGAGATAGCATCATGACTGAAAAATTCAAATAAAACGTAAATAGTTACACGAATGGAGTAGATATATTCTATGAACTGAAAATAAAAAATGCAGTATTAATGATCATATTCCAATATTTAAATAAAAAGAAATAAATGTATGTTTCAGCTTCATTTGTGACCTATATTGACATTTTTACACAATATTTGTTAGCATAGTTTTATAGTCTTTAATATTATAATAATTTTTCTATAATAAATTTTGTATTCTAGTAACCTTGGCCAAGAGTATCTTCTATAACACCCAATACTAATGTAATTATAACCTAACTTATATGTATACCAAATAATCGTTGTACACTCTTAACAAGATGTTAAATACAAAAACCCTAAACTCTTTTAACATCTAAGCAAGGAACATTAAGTATGCCAATCATAACAGTGAAGAGTGAATATATTATCAATATTTATATCTAAGTGACATTGGTGCTCACATCATATTGACATATAGCTCTTGTATCAATTTCATATACAGTTTTATTATAGCATATCAGGCCCTATGTAAAAACCTTAGCGAGTTGGTTAGTGGTGAATATTTCTTTTTTAAAACTGTTTTTGAAGAATTGGAAAACCAGTCACAGAGTGATATAAGGTCCTCTGCAAAAATAAGCATGTCCTTCTTCATAAACAATGAATGTTCAGCGCAAATTATAATATATAATGTACATTGAACATCAAGTGTCAGCAACCTAACTGAAATAAATGACATTGAGTTTTACTTTCTGCTGTTATGCATCTTGGCCAATAATGACAAAAAATATCCTGGAGTGTGCAAGAGGAGAAATGATGTTTGAAAAACAAAAATAACATGGTTCCTTTTTCCCCCTGTTTTTAATGCATAGGGATTTGAGGTGCACAGACATACAGGTTCTCATTTACATCACTGACAATCTCAACAATCCTTGAACTTTCTTAATCATTCACACACAGAATTCATATATTTAAAAAGATAAATTATAGATTCTACTTTGAAAATATCTACAATCTGCAATTCTTATTTCAACACAGAAGTCTAGCTTGTGAGCTTAATTTCAAAATCAATTATCATTACAATTCGGAAATTTGTTGATTCCTTAACATTAATATTGTGAGCCTTAGAAACATTTAGATGAATAGGGCACATAGATATATTTTGAGTGTGGACACCAAACCTTACCTCCATGATGAAACAGCTCTAAATACATAGTTGATATTATTATTTTTATATGTAATATTAGTAGTGTATAATGATTCAGATACAAGATACAATCTAACTTTAATGCTAACTAGAAAGAGGTGTACTATTGTCTAATACTGACTTTAAAGTTTGATGCAAATTGTCATTTGAGCACCACAATGAATTGTCTGACACAAAGGCTAGAAATGTAAGTACTCACTCGAGTGGAAATGAAATTAAAGACACAGCAACAACTAATAAATCTAAAATGTTGAAGAAACTTCGACAAAATGACTCTTCATGTAACACTAATCCATCTGTTATAATCTGGAATAATAACACAGAAATCATTTATAGGTGTACAACTTCATTCAAAACAATATAGGAGGCCAAAAAGTGAACGCATGTAAAAGAGGGTTTAGCACAAAATTTTCCATTAAACTTTTAAAACATAAAGAAAAATGAAGGTGAGGAGTGAAATCAGGAGATTTGTCAGCATTAGTTACAGACATAAGGTTTACCATATTCATTAGCTTAGCTTTACTTACTTTAATGATAATTTCTATGGTAAAAACAGTAGTGAAAAAATAATCAAAATGGTTTAAAATCTGAAATAAATATAGAATATGTTACATCTCAGACATTTGGTGTTAGAATCGAGTTTACTAGATTGAATTATGAAGGAAAGTTAAGAAAATCATTTATAATGTCTCTCATCACTGGAAGACAAGATCTAACATATACTACTAGTATCTAGGCAACGAGAAAATATTGGGACTAATGACAAGATCAATTGATCAATAAACATTAGATTTGCTCTTCTTCAGGGCGTTTTTTGGCTTGTTGTCCTAATGATGTCCCCCCCCCTCCCCCAAGTTTGAGATCTTGTTGACAACTTACAGTGTTTCGTGGTGATTTGGATTGAAGTGGATCTTCTGCAGCCAACATAGCACTACTGATCAGAATACAAACTAAGACTACATTACGAAAATATGAATGATTACAAATCTTGTGGCACATTATTCGGAATCTGAAATACACAAATAAATTTCTGAATAACTCATAGCCAGAATCATTCATCAACCAACCTTAGTTGTCCAAGTTTAACTATAACTATAATAATATATAATACATGTAACTATATACTACTAAATGGGCTAAATCTTGATTTTTGTGATGTTCACATAGACTGCTATTTTCCAGTTTTTTTGCAAACTTTGCTTTGATAAAACACATCTCCGAACCATTTCAAAACATATTTGTGACATAATTGGTTGAAATCTCTTCGTTACAATTAGTAAAAATTCAAGTTGATTGACAAGAGTGTCAAGATGAAGCACTTTTTCCCAAGAATAATAAAAAGATTTTTACTTTGTTCCAAAACAACTTACTTATTATTTGGAGCAAAGATGAAAAGGGAACTGGCATTTGGTATTGGTTTAATTTTATCAGATATATGTATCTCTGACATTCTACGTGGTCTCATCTGGGTTGAAGTGGTTTGTGCATCTTCATCTTCTTCATCATTCTCATCATCAGATGTTTCTGATGAATCAGATGTTTCTTCATCATTCTCTTCATCATCTGTATCTTCTAGAATAAAACATGGCTTCATCAATTAAACAAATGAAATCATTTTGAATTTGACTGTTTAAAGCTTTATTAGCTGGTAAAATATCTAAATGAATATATCCTATAAAGACAATACAGTCTCACATTATTTAACACAGAATAATGACAATGTTTAAGGTGTATGGCTAAAAATACTATACCTTGAATAGGCATCTTTTTATTGGTGCGATAATCAGTTGAATCTGTATCATCATCATATAGTTTAATACGAACATGATGATCAGCACTTTCTCTTCTACTTCTACAAAATACATTATAAGTGTTGATCTTAATTTGACAGAGACAATTTATGTTAAGAAAGGGTAATGGTTAACAACAGTATAAAAATATCTTTGTCTGTCAGTACAGTGAATCAAACTGTTGGCTTAATGGTTGTTCTTCATGAACGAATCTTTTAATAATTCATATCATATGTGACTACAGATAACACTTTTTTATATCAACTTGAACCAAAACTTACCTCCGACTTCTGTTGCTTGGATTCCTGCTCAACGCTTTTTCTTCATCTAAATTATCATTACCATTAACATCAACACCTTCATCTACCTCCTCATCCTGTAAAATAAACATATCATCATTACCATTAACATCAAATATATATTCTCCTGTAAAATTAATTTATCATTATTACCATTAACATCATCGATATCAACATTCTGTAATATAAACATATCATCGATATCAACATTCTGTAATATAAACATATCATCGATATCATCATCCTGTAATATAAACATATCATTATTACCATTAACATTATCTATATCATTATTACCATTAACATCATCTATATCATCATCCTGTAAAATTAACGTATCATTATTACCATTTACATCATCTATATCATCATCCTGTAATATAAACATATCATTATTACCATTAATATTATCTATATTATCATTACCATTAACATCATCTATATCATCATCCTGTAATATAAACATATCATTATTACCATTAATATTATCTATATTATCATTACCATTAACATCATCATCTTGAAAAATACATACAACATCATCTATATCATCAACCTGGAAAATAAAAATATTATCATTAACATGAACATCACCTATATCATCATCCTGTAATATAAATATAAAAAAATATCATTAACATCATCATTATCATTCACATCATTTTCTTGAAAAATACATATAACAATAATAACATCATCTATATCATCAACCTAGAAAATAAAAATATTATCATTACCATGAACATCACCTATATCATCATCCTGTAATATAAATATAAAAAAATATCATTAACATCATCTACATCATCATTATCATTCACATCATCATCTTGAAAAATAAATAAAACATCATTACCATTTACTTAACAAAAAGACATACCACAAATGCTCATTATTTCTCTTTGCTGATTTTTACACTAGGATCATAATTCTTAAGACATTCAAAAAAATAGTTAATTTTAAACACATACTGGTACAATTTGAATATTTTATTGAATGAAAATGTGACCTACAGGTATATCTTTAACAGGACTGACACTTTTTGATCTTCTTACTGATCTTGTTCTTTCTTTCTCTTCCGCTTTTTCTTCTTCTATCTCAGTTAAACTTTGAGCATCAGCTAAATTATCAACAGCAATAGCCAAGAAGACATTCAGTAAAATATCTGATGTCTGGTTAAGGAAACTGAATAAAAACCATAGAATTTTGAATTTTATCAATCTGAAAAATTTACCTGTATTTTGAAAATGAATTTTTTTTTTAATTCAATGAGAGAAATTGGTGAAGACTGTCCTAGTTAGTCTCTCACTCCCATACTATCTCAATTCTATCAAATTTTTTACTACATTTAAGAATATTTAGTTTTGGAAAATTGATTTTTTTGAATGATTGCTATCACAAATTATACTTTCCAATTTGTTGTTCAAAGGATACAATTTCCACAAATAAAGAGAACGACAAAATATAAACAAACAACAACACCAAATCCACCAACACCACCATAGGCTCTGATACCATCATACATTACTACATTCCAATCTTCACCAGTTAATATCTACAATTTCATTAATAAAGTTATAACACTTGCAGAACAATATCTTTTTATTGCTGTACATATTTCATTGTCAACAATTATAACTTCAATTGCATGAATATTGATGACAGAAAATTTTGAAAAGAATAATTTGAAATTGAATCTGGAAACGATATATTTAATCTAAGAATTGGTTTACCTGAAAGACTGTTAGCAATGCTTGCCAAAACTCATCAAAATTACTCCTAGGTTTCATCTGGGTATCGTCAAAATTAAATCGCCCACCAAATAACTGCATCCCCAATAAGGCACATATTACAATAAATAGAAAGAGTAGTAATAACAAACTGGCAATAGAACGCATACTGTTTAACAAGGAAGCAACCAGATTTCGTAAAGATGACCAATATCTACAATAGAAAAAATTGACATGTTGACAAACCTTCTTTAAGACAAAGCCATATTGTTATCTCTGCCCCTAAGATTGCGATTCTTACAGGGCACTGTTGAAGGATTTGGAGAGTATACAAAGCAGACTATTCTGTTAGGTATGCCTGCAAATTATTCTTAAATCTCTGTACATGTACATCTCTATCTCTGACACCCTTTACCACTTCTTCCATCTACAATCATCACAAGGTTGGCTAACATGAAACTTTCCTTTTGTCATGATTCAAAATTATCTAGCTTCATTCAAAGTTATCAACAGACAACTTTATGTCAATTTCAAAAATAACAAACTTACCTTGTTGCTTTGAAGACACGTAATAATCTGGCACATCTGAGTACACTGACACCAAGAGGTGGCATAACTTCTGTATAGATAAATATGACTTCTAATATACTACACAATACAACAAAACTGTCAAATCGATTAAATAAAGATACAAAATAGCCCTGGAAGCCTAAACTGTACATCTTTAACAGCATTTCAAATGTAAATAAAACAACAAAAAACAGGTTAGCGATACCTGAAATGAAAAAAATAAAAAATACCATGTAATTAGACTTCATCTATTTCTATTTCTACTAAGTGACTGAATCCATAGATCTATTTGACTATGAAAAATATGACCATACGTCAGAATGCCACTTGCAAAAGTCTTGAATTGTAAAACACCAAAATACATCAATATAACAGTAATAGCTTTTTTCTAACTCTTCCTAGACTATAATGTAATTTAGTAAATCGTTATAATCTTAAAAGAGAGAAAATAGTGTATTTGGTTTGACAATGTAACTAAGTGGTCACTTACTTTGAAAGCTATCCAGCCATTCTGGTTGTCTATAATGTTCTGAAGTTAATACACATGTATTTAAAAACACTAACACAATAACTATCCAATAAAAAGCCTGGGATTTCACAATTTTACGACTGAACCTTCGACATCTTCTATTCCATTTTTCAAATAAAAATCTAAAATAGACAAAAAACCTGGCAGTGCATTAGGAATGCTTATTGAATGAATAGTTCAAGCACGAAATCGTGTCTGCAAATGCAGGTATTATAATTTCCTTCAATAATTAATTCAAGATACATAGTAATTAAATTTATCTATAGTAGCACTATGACTGCTGTTTATAAGAACAATGTAAGAAGTGAGGTAATTTGCACTACATTGATAAAAGTCTTAATAATGTCTACTCCTGAGCATCAGACCACATTCAATGGCAAACAATTACTTGCAAGGTTTCAAGATGATACACCTGTTTTTATCAAGACTCGCTAGCCTAATATTCATTAAAGTAATCTTCAATATAATAGTGAACTAAAAAGTTCAACAAAATAAACTATATACCATACCTTTTTTGTTGAAACCATGATGGTGTTAATTCACTAGCATCTATTTCTTCTAATTTATCTGTTACATCTTCACTTTTATCTACAATAACATTGGATATAGATATAGAACACAGGTCATTATTTTGAGATAATAGTAGCAGTAGCATCTGGTGAATATTGGGAAATATAGTGATGATGCTACTCACACCACCTCTCCGTGGCTATAAAATAGTGGGGTATCCTGGCCACTATATAGTGAGGTATCCTGGCTACTATATAGTGAGGTATCCTGGCCACTATATAGTGAAGTATCCTGGCTACTATATAGTGAGGTATCCTGGCTACTATATAGTGAGGTATCCTGGCCACTATATAGTGAAGTATCCTGGCTACTATATAGTGAGGTATCCTGGCTACTACATAGTGAAGTATATATATATATATTTATTAACAACAGATATATATATATCTGATACTTACTATGTCTAGGTGTAGCTATAACCTCTTCACCTTCTTCGTCACATTCTGGATCAATATCATCTGAAATATCATAGTTACAGTTAACAATACTACTAGCATATTTATTAACGTTAATGTTTCACTGTCACACAGTCATCAGGAATTATTCCCTCATTATTGCATCAACCATGATGTAATTGGGTACAGATAACCCATGTAAACATAAGGTCACGAGGTTTAGCCAAGACTCTGGTTGTAGACAGGTTCCTTGTAATCCTTGTATCCTTCACAACAATACTGTTGATTTTCACTTAAATTCTTTCCCATCAATAAGCATACAAGTAATGATTAACCTTTTATATTGTTTGCTAATAAAATGCTTGTAGAAGAGAAATTTATTAGCATGCTTGAAAATTCAGAAACATCTATGGTATGATTTTTAATTTATTATGTGGCCTTAAATCAAAATATTAAAATCTGACCCGCTTGCGTTATCCAATCTAAATAACCACGAAGATCTTCTTCCAATTGTTGTTTTTCGCGTAATTTTTGAAAATCTCCACGAGCTTTAGCTTTTTCTCTTTCTTTAGAAAACTCTCTGAAAAAAAGAGAAGAACTAGAAATGTACAAAAATCGTATAATTCCTTCAAAAATATCTAAGAATTTCACTTTCTATTTCTGTCATTATCTTTTCTAGATATGGCAGAGTGTCAAGAAAACACAAGTCATCTTGTTATTCAAATGAAGAAAATTCTGGACGCACATGATTTGGCAGCTCAAATTGCGATAGTGAGAAACACTATTACTGAATGGTTTAGCTAAAAATATTCTGTTTCTGAGACTAAAGTACATTTGGTCAAATGGATGGTGAAACAGTCTCTTTCATAGTCTGGACATCAATTGATTGGTATGACATATGATGACATTTGACTGATTTTAATCAAATCATATATGTTTTTAGTTGTTGTTTAGATTATAGAGAAAATGAGAACGTACCCACTCAACACACCAAGAACAAGATTGAGTACAAAAAAAGAACCAATAATAATGAGACTAATAAAATAAATCCATGGCCATTCATTTCCTACAGCATCATTTACCTACAATATATAAACATTAATCAATATACTAACTATAGTAACTATCTTGATTAACCTTGACTTTTATATTACCTGTTTGACATACTGTATATGATGTTACTGAAGACTGTTAACAAACATGCTTGATGAATAACAGGGGTTTTAAAATGATTTTTAAAATACATCCATTTCTTTTTTCCATATTTCTAATTAAGAGTCATGTGAATGGTGAGGAGGAAGGCAACTTGTAAATGCAACTGCTTTGGATATTTCCAGAAATAAGTTTCCAATCACAAACAAGTCAAATTATACCTATTTGTATCTGATGAATAAAATCATTATGTGTGTATATATAGGAAGATGGTAGTTTGACGAAATAGGTTAGTTGTGAGCCAAAATGAGGCTAACAGTTGCAGTGATATAGAATTAACTCTGAGAGCAATTCAAGATTATACTGTGGAATAAACAATAATCTTACATCATAAAGTACATCAGTCCATCCTTCCATAGTAATACATTGAAAGACAGTTAACATAGCCAAACCAAAATTATCAAAGTTGGTAATACCAAAGTTAGGCCCTTCCCAATATTCATCACACACTGAACCTGGTACTGCATCATCACACAGAAACCCACGTCCACACGGATGAGGTTCTTCAAAGGCTATAGTTTCTGAAATTAGAAGTTTACAATGAGTTTAAATGAGCCGTTTTAAGAACTATCATAGCTTATACTTAAAAGGATAAAATTGAGTTCCAATTCATTTGTCCTGGTTCCACATCCAACCAAAGAAATATTATCAATAGCTAAACTTACTTGGATTTTTGTAAAAACAGGTTTTATGCATTTTTCCTGAGAACAGCTCCAATCCAATAATAGCATATATAATGATAACAAATATAACCAGAAGTGCTATGTGTAATAAAGGCACCATTGCTCGTAATATAGAGTTTAATACAACTTGTAAACCTGAAAATATAATCAAATTGTTTACATGTGACCATTCAAAGGGATATTAAAGTCTTCTAAATATTTGGGTACCAACCAATTTTATAATCAGAGCTCTTTTTTTCTCAAAACATAACATTGAGAAATTTTGAGAAGATTTAGGATCACATTTGTATGATTTGGTTTGGATTTCAATGAGGCAGATATACATGCACATGAAAAGAAAAGGACTTACTTGGTGCTCTGGATACAAGCCGTAATGGTCTTAATACTCTAAATGCTCTTAGAGCCTTAACATCAAAACCTTTATTATTTACAGAAGTTAATATAATACTAATTACACTGAAAAATACAATATAGACAGATTTAGAGCTGTAACATCAAAACCTTAATTATGTACTGAAGTACATACTCCTTAAGTGACATTTAGGTGCAGAGATCACAACATAAAATAGTCAAAATGACTAAAATAATAGCCTGCCAGGCTCTATACGCCCACTACCGTCTGTCAGAAATGATTACAAAGTCTGTAGTGGCTCAATAATGAATTTACAAATAATCTTTTTAACTCAGACAAAAGCTCAAAAACAGAAAATTAAAACATGAACAAGGTCTCATCGACGTTCACACAACAGCAATAACTCGTAACCGTTCATTCACTTATTACCAATTTCAAACTTGACTGAGATCTCATCAGTATCTACATGCATACCAAGTTTAGTCAAGATCGGATAAAAATTGTGGCCTCTTATGTGCCTACAAGCCAAATCTTAAGCCTTTTTACTAAGTCAAGGGCAATAAATCTATCATCTGATTATTACCAAATTTGAGAACTTATCAATATATACATGAATACCAAGTTTCATCAATATCAGATAAAAACTTTAGCCTCTATCATGGATACAAACCAAATTTGATGTGGTTATTTTTTTTCAAGGGCAATTACTCCAAAACCGTTCTTCTGATAATTACCAAAATCAAACTTGACTGAGATCCAATCAATATATACATGCATAACAAGTTTCATCAAGATTGGATAAAAACTGTGGCCTCTATAGTGGCTACAAGAAATGTGTACAGACAGACAAACCGATGGACGGACAGGGGCGACGGCAATGCGTATAATTAAATACAGACAGACTTAGAGCTGTAATATCAACACCGTTTGTCTTATTTCAGTATTGAAACTGTATTGTCCTTTGATTAATTATATGATGTGAAACTGAGTACAAAAAATTATCTTACCCTATAACAACAATTATAAAATCTAAAATATTCCAACCATTCCGTAGATAGGCGCCTGAATGTAACACAAAACCATAGGCTATAATTTTTAGAATTGCCTCAAAGGTAAATATCACTAAAAATACATACTCTACATGTTCCTGAAAAAAAGTTTACAAACGAAACAATCAAAATTGCCAGAAATTAATATCAATGATTCCTATCTGGTAAGAAAAATGATGCAAATTTTGGACAATCAGGTCTTGTTCGTGTATTGTATAACTCAACGACCATTCTCTGAGTAAGATGTTACACCACAGCTAGTTGAGCAATATTATCTGTGAGCTTGTTATCAACCATTCTTGGATGTCTTCTGTACACATATGTCTCCCACAGCATAAAGAATATAAACATTAACAATATACCAAAGGCTTCTAAATTACACTAAAATGCCATTTAATCTGAAACCTTACCAATTGACCTTTTCAATGTATTGATACATGGAAGAACATAGGATACATAACATGTCAGCCTTTTGCAGGGCGTTCTATTGATGTCCTGCTTTGTTTTCATTATTCAATATTATCCAAATTATCTTCAAATTTGGTATGTATGGATTTCAATAAATAATTTCTGAATTGCAGGGATATAATGGAATTTGTGGAGTGTGCATGCATGTCCTTTAACTGTCCACTTTCGTATGTACCTGTATCAGTGCCTGGTAAGGGAACACTTAGAGTTAATCAGTAAACTAAATAATACATGTTACACAAAGACTTACCAGAGTCATGTTTATTTCGTTGGTATCTGATTTTGGATATGGTGTATATACAGCAAGTGCAGCACAATTAGCAAATATAGTAATAAGAATTAAATATTCGAATGCTGTGGGTCAAGTTAAGGAAAATCTATAAACCCTAATATAAAACTTAATTTACATGCCATCATGATGATAAAAAATCTAATTCTGAAAAATTTGTTGCCTTTCTTTGTGACTGGGTTTGTAAATTAGGTGGCCAGAGATTACATAGCCAATATTGTTTAGTTGGTTAATCCATCACACACAAATAGACCATTGGTGGACAAGATTGTCCAAGAGGTCATTCTTTAACCAATCTGCAACACTCTTCCTGCAACTCATCCACAGAAGGCATCTAAAATTTACTCAAACAGTATAAATAGCTCTTGTTCGCTCATCCTAACATTGAAAAATATATTTAGCATTTCCATCCACCAACAGGTAAATAATGATTTTACTCTGAATGAAACTGAAATTGTCCTGATAACCAGGTCCAGGTTATTTAAGGTGGAGAATATGTGTAGAGATAGGAGTCTGTACAAAAAACAACCATGACCTTCATATAGCCATCAAAGTTCCTTCAGTGCTTCTGAGTTGAAAGGTACATCTAAATAATATTTGATCGACATGTTATATTGAATGTATAAGAACTGTCAATCAATCATACAGTTAGTTGAAGAAAGTTGATTTGATCTCATTAATGAGCTTCAGTCTAGGATAAAGTAATTTACAGATATCAATATTGCCACAACATAATTCTATTAGTCTTTTCAACTTTGACCTTGATAGACTAACATTCCTGCATTCTTTTCTCTTGCACCCTATTAGGCATGCAGCCCAGAAGAAACATTTTCAGTGCATAAAACAATGCATGAATTTAAAAAGGATATCTCCATTCTACAACTTTTATACATAGCTTCCTCAGCGGGCTCTTCAGTGTGAGGAAGTATAAAGCCCGAGGGGGGCGTACATTTACATTTTGTTGTTTTCGGACTTGGGCCCGTTTCCGAGTCATATTGGCACCAGCTGCGGCAGCCACTAATGCTGTACTCCATGCATTGCTTATGATAGGTTTTTCACCAGTTCCAGGATCTGTTGGGTCAGCGGAAGGATCTTGAGATTGTGATGTGTCCTTTGTATCTGGTGGTAAACGAGTTTGACTTGTGTCAGCAATGCGATCATGACTTGAACCTGAAGAACATGAAAAATGACAACCTAAATATAATTTCTTTGAATGGCATTTAGCAATTGTGAGTACGATATATAGACACAGCTTTATGGAACAACAATCACTAGTTAAAGTTTTATGCAACGTTTCGACGTGTCTATATATAAATATAATTTGCTTGATATATTTCAATACACAACTACATATTAGCAGTACATCAAAATGTCCAAATTCTTTCCCATAAACCTAGTTATGACAGACATTTTGATAGAGGTTTCCCATGATGTAAATATACAGTAACTAAACCTATATTATACATATTTGTAATTAAAATATGTTTTGGTCTACAAATTATCTTCAGTATATCTAAAATAATATGTTACTAACTGTGATGATATATGATAAATATTGTGAAATACTGTATAATTTAAGTGCAGACTACATAACATACATATACATTATTCTTAAAAAATCAATTTTAAAAGATAGCTTAGTACTTGAAACAGATGTATCAGCTGACTGTTGCTGTGTTTGACAATAAATATGTATGCTTATTTCATCCATTATAAGTCATGGGCTAAAAATCATTGAACACCAATTTTGCCTTCAGATGACTTCGAGTCCCGTATTTTTAGTTGTCTGAATGTAACCAGTTAACTTAAGCTGCCTTAACTTGCACCTACTTCGGAGGTGGCTTGAATAGTTAAGCCAGCTTAGTTTGCTCGTCTGACATTAAGCCAGATTTGTCATGTGTGCATTCTTCTTCAAATTTATAAGAAATATAATCATAACAAACCATGTAGGTGTCTTCCCACATTGCCTTTCCCAAATCGCCCATATGCTGTTCCGTTTCGCCCCATGCTATTTTGCGCTTTTCCCATAGCGCCCCATTCTTTTTTGCCCTTTTCCCATATCGCCCTTTGCTATTTTGCCCCTTTTCCATAACGCCCCCTTCCCAATTTGCCCCTTTCCCAGTTCGCCGCATAACCATTTTCTCCCTTCCCAATTCGCCCCTTCTCATTTCGCCGCTTTTCTATAATGAGACCGCATAATAAAATGTGCATTTTAGTACTGGAGCAGTAGGAATTTTATAAAGAGTAGATTGGAATGTCACTGCTGCCGTAAAATTTTTCAAACTTTGATGTTTGATCTAGTTTAGGTGTTTATTGATATTTTTAATTGAAACCTTCAGAATAAGTAGGAGATACATTTCTCTACAATGTATCATTTATTTTGCTATATGTGTATATTAGTTGTCCAAACTAATCAAAAAGCATTGAGACGTCAAATATTTAGGTAAACTAGTTTTGGCGTTCATAAATAAATGGCATGATACTTTAAGTAAATTAAAACAAAATATTTCTCTTGATTTTGGATTGGATTGTGAGCTTTAAAGAAAACATTTTGAAAATGGCAAATCTGGTACAGTAAATCATGTAAAACAGAAAATAAATTTGAATGGCTGATTTTTTTTTTGCTTTATCTTAATGATCAAACAAACGGAGCAGCTGCACAGATGATAGATTTTACGGATGAAATATTTATGAAAATAGCTCCAGCTCCATAGCATGTACCTGATATAGTTACTTATAAGTCAACGTCTATATCAGTAATTATTATCATTAAGTTAATTGCAAAGTTTATCAAACGAGCTAAATATTGTTATTTAATGAGTCATTTGATGATATTAATTACTGCACCAGCAATGGTTTACAGATATTATACTATAATCGTTGAACTCTATTCAAGGCCAAGTATCATATAACCTACTGTTAATTGACACCATTTACTATGTTATTATATGTATTAAATGCTGTATTATCTTTACATATGTTTGTAAGTTTGATTGCAAATTCTTTCCACAGTGCAATCTGAAATCCAAAGATTATAATCAGAAATATTGCTTCCCATGGGCGCAGTAATATTTAATATGTTTGGGACCATTCCACGATTCAGACCAGCTAATTAATTGTAATGGGTAAACTCTCACACTTTACAATATATTTTTGTGTAAGATTTTTTGAGTAATGGTAGCCATGATTTCAATTAGATATGGACTAATGAAATAAAAAATGAGTAACTATTTGAATGGAAATTTTCTCTCTCTCTCTCTCTTTGTACTTGATGATTAATATGATATATACTTTGTAGACTGTTGGCACTGATTCAAACATATGGACTATCCTTAAATAACTAAGTGCATCTCCACATTCAATACTTCTGACATACCAATGTATTACAAATTGCATTATTACAAGCTGATGTAGTGCATTCCGTATCAATATAGTTTAGACAAGGAATAAAATAGTCTTAAAATTTTCTATACAAGCTGATACAGATAAGTCCGGTGCAGATTTGAGTCAATAGCTCAGACGTTCATCATGAATAACTGAAATCTCACTGTGTAAATTTTGCTGCGTCGTTTGCTTTGCGAGACAGTATGTCAGAAATCTATCATGTTTGATATTTTTGGCTCAGGTACTCAAATCCAAGTGAGGATTCAAAACAACAAACTATTTTTTAAGTAGAAGAGTGAATCTTTTTACATCACAAAACTTGAATTTTGTCTAATGTAATCAGGCAAGCGTTCTTAGAATGAAAGAGGAGGTGGTCTCGGAACAGTTCTGAGAACAGATTTGATAAATTGGTGTAATGTAAACGCTAACTGTTCTTGGAATATTTTACTGTGCATGCCTAGTAAGCCACAGTAAGTCATATTTTCCAGTGCAAATTTGTCATTATTTAGTGCCATTACATCCTGATAATTACAGGAACTAAATTCAACTATTTTGAGAAGAGTTCCACGGATAAATGTGCCTAGAATAGTATTATTTACACAGCAATTGAAGAACTGTTCTCAGACCACTTGATTTACTGTTAAGTACCCGGTAAATGGCCACATTTTGTTGTGGACTGGTCCAGACCAAGAACGGAACACTTTATAGCACCCTGGTTTTACATTGGCTATTGTATGGTTTGACCCAAATTAAGTTTTGCTAAGTTTAAGAGGGTCTTACATCCTGATTCAACATCCACAACTGATATAGTACAACAGGTAGCTTCAAATAGATTTTCTTTGTGGCCCCGTATACTGGAAACGATCTTAGCGCTAGGATGTCCTAGAAGTAATGTTGGAAGATAAGAACCTAGGACATCCTAACACTAAGATCGTTTTGAGAATACGGAGCCAGGTTCTTTGTTACAAATCTTACATATATTGTAGAAATTGTATAATTTGGATATTATTCTAAGAATTTTCAGATAAATCTGAAATGCAACAGTTCATTAATATATTATAGTACTATAACTTAAACTTTATGAATATAATTATAGATTTATATTGCCTTTTTCATTCATCCCTCAATTTATTGAGTCTTAGACAATTTTATTTTTTAGACAATAAGTTTTGATCCATGTCTGATTAAAAACATGCACATGAGTAGGTCAGTTTATTTTTAGGATATTTAAAAAGTAAAATAAGCCTAGCTATATCTGGGCATCCACTTGAGAGTTTTTTCTACAAGTCTTGCGAGTTACTCTCACTTTCCATCTGACAGTAAATTGTAATGTGAGATACGATAAGAGAGTTAATCTAATGAATGCACAATCAACTTAAGCAACTTTCAACTGCCCTTCCACCTGAAAGACACCTAGAAATAAAGTGACCTGCTCCTATGCTCAGGTTTGAATTTGGACCATGGTCCAAGAGATGGAAATATTAAGAATTTCTTTTCTTTCATGTATTCATAAATTCCAGCTTGTTTATTTATTCACTAATTAATAAGACTTAACTATATTTAGTTAACGATTTGATAACAAGATTGATCTATTATCATGTATTAGGTAATATGGACAACTGGATAAAGAAATAAGTTGTATTTAGTATAATTGATGTAATCTACCTGTCAAGTATTATTTTCAGACACACATTTACTTTGTCTTTTTAATTTTAGGGACAGATGTGCTAGCCTCAATTCAGTACGCACGTATCGTTTCAAGTCTGCTCCAACAAAATCAGCGCGACATATGCTTCACATAGAAAAGTAAAACTATGCTTGGTTAACTCGCAGTTAAAAGTTCCTGCAAATTTTTCATAGCTTTAGAAAGTTCCCAGCATCAAAGTACCAAACTCTTTGATTGTGGGTGTAGACACCATTTTCTCGTAGTGATAAGGTTTTCTTGGAAAAGGTGCAGAGATATTTTTAGTTCAACCAATGAGAGGTGTCGGAATATGGGCCATCGTCACGGTTGCACACAATTAGGTCACGACGTCACAGACCGTAAATAAAACAGTCAATAAGTTGCTTGTTTCAATCTTGTTTTGAGCGGAAAGTTTGGCGATTTTACATGAATTATGGATATGAAATTGCTCTTTTGTGTTCAAATAAACATTAATATGCAGTTGTAACTTTATAGTTGAAAAATCCAGCGTAATTTGCTCATATCCATGGTTATCTTCAAAGAAGCATAAAGGAAAGAGATAAACGCAGCCTAGCCTAGTATCTGAGATAATCGAATGTCCCATGCCATAATTTTAATAGGCTATGTGAAAATCACTTGACGGTCTTTTATCAAATGTGTAATTATAAGAAATCTTTATGATAAATGATAGGCGAAATTTGAAAGAAGGGATTATAAAATTAATAAAAAAAAGAGACAATATACTAAAGAGTGGTTGTAGGCTTGGCCTAACTATAAGTATAATATAGGCCTACATACTTCTGAATGAAAATTACAAAACATTTTTTTCAAGCATATTCATTAATTAAAGATAGCTTGCCAGGCAAGGTAACATACGCCCACTTCCAGCTGTCAGAATGATAACA